CTGATACAAGTACACAGAGATCCGCCCTGCTATCTCTGGTGCAGAACTCTCACCACCAACCCTGAGTCAGAGGGTGAGGGTGTCTCCCAAAAAACTGGCCCATTAAACAAGCTTTCATATTCTGGTCCTGCCTGAAAATCCCTGGTAGAATCTGACCAGTCTTCAAACTCTGCCACAAATGTAGAACCCCCAAGCAATTTTTCAGTGTTTCACTTTTAAATATGGACAATTGAGGATCACAAGACAGATGAGGACTGTGTGCTAGTAAAATGAACATCCGTGAAAAAAGAGGGTGTGGATACGAGTAACAGTGGGCTCTGTCTGGGAGAGACATGATGGAAAATTCCATGTGTCAGCTGTACAACAGGCCTGGTAGGAGTAAGGGACAAAAGAAGCCCAGAAAAGGAAACCCTCCAGAGGACCTAAAATGATGGTGCTTTGAGGGAAAAGTATTATTTTTAAAAAGATATTGCAAAAAAGAAAGAAAAAGTGAAACTCCATAAATGTGTTTAAGGGGAAAAATGTATTAATGGTACACCACTGGGGTCAGTGAACAAATTTACAGAGCTGTGGTAATGCAAAGACTATACAGATACTGCTAAAATCACTTGTAAAACTCTATTGGGAGAAGACGGGAAGGCAGATGGGGGACAAGAGAACTAAAGCTTCATTTCTTTCTAAAAGGAAATACTATAAATACGTCATGTCTAAAACTGTTAAATCAAGACAACAGTATAAACACATTAATTAGAGGTGTGAAAATAGTTACCAAAAAAACCATCTAAAAGAAAACAAACTGATCAGTGCCTCTGGGATATGAGCCTGGAGGGTAAGGAGGGGCGGGGCAGGAAATGTTGTATGCATTATAAATATTTTGATACTTTTTCCCATGTGCATGTATTGATTTGACAATTTTTAGAAGTATATAAATGCATATGCCTGAAAAACAGTTCCACAAATTTGGAATCAGTAGATATAGGGGCACAGGAGTATGCATCTTTAAAAATCTCCCCCAGTGATTCTGACAAATTTATTCTTGTGCCTCTGCTTTTACAAACACAAATAAAGAGGTAGCAACCAGTAAAAGAGCAGTAACATCGATCTGCCAAATGGAGAAATGCCAGGAGCTATAGGAGGTCAGGATGTTGGTGTTCCAGACAGCTTCCTGCCATTTTACTAATAAAATGGATAAATATTAGAAGACACATAAAAACTAATAGGCTGTGAGTGACCTCGTAATTCTATAGAAGAACTTCATAGATACATTAGCTTTTCTCCCTCTTACATTTGTTGAAACTCAAAAGCCTTGATTCAAAAATTAGTCTGGGGAAAAACATAAAACATCACATAACGAGGAAAATTTTGTAACTGAAGCATGTTAGATCAACAATTTCAGACTCTGTGGTCTCCATGTAAATCATGTAACATCAATCTTGATTTTTAAAATAGTTTAAAGGATGTTATCAAAATCTTTGGTGTCTACAAATGATTGCTGAGATGTGTAGAATACCTAATAATCAGAAGTAGGATGGTTTCTGGGCACTATGGTAACTTTTTCTAGGAAAGCATCTTCTGGAACATAGTAAGGCCATTGGGGATTGGCTCAGTTAGTTATCCAAAAGCAGCCAGGGGCAAAGTGTCCTCATTTTCTCTGTTCTCTAACCCTTCCCAGGACTCAGAAAGAGAGAATTACCACCCATCCTTGTTTCTATTCTGCAGGATCCTAGATTGACTTTTTAGTAGAGTGGATTTGCTTAGTGTCCACACAACCTGACATCTCTTTGCCTAAATTAGAGATCATCTAGAGCAAGAAAAGGTGATTAAAATATTTTCATGCTTATTTCAAAGTCAAAAGAGACTCCTCACCTTTTAAATACAAATGATTTATTGTTTATATCCTTAGTATCCATTAATTTTGTTAATTTTGCAGATAAATCATTACAAAATGGAAATTTCTTCCCTAACATGTATTGTCTTTTTTATTTCATCCAGAAATTGGAAAGCTGGCCTCTTTTTGCTTCAGTGGTAAGCTATTGGTCAAATTACCTTGACTGCACTGTACTGTAGCAGTGGGATTCAACAATTTAAAATTTTACTTCTTAATTTCTAAGAACATCCACTCATCCATCCAGTACTCATTGAGCACCTGCTATCTACGTGACACTGTAGGAACAACAAGAAAACAGCAACCACAGGGTAAATCTCTATGCTTAACAGATTAAAAATTTATATGAGAAAGGTTTTATACATAGGCATGTGTGCATTTATGATATCTATGTTTTTTAATTTGACTATATACTATTCTTTGATGTTTGTCTAAATAGTTCATGTTTATAAGTTACTGTCATTTTATTAGATACTTCCCATGAACATTCGCTGAAGGTAAAATATTAATGTACACTGTGATGGCGTATAAACCTTTCTAGGTATTCCCCCACTGTGGTGCCTTTGCATATGCTGTTTCCTCCTCTTACAGCTTTCCTCACTTATCCACCCAACAAATACCTATTCATCATCCAAAGTCTGTCAGGCATGATCTTCTCTTTGAGTCTTCCCAAAACACTTTCTGATTGAATTGACCACCCTCTCCTCTGTACTGTTTCTGGACTTTGTACATATTTTTATTATTACATTGATAGAAACACTTGCTTCTTCATTCTTGTATTCTTAATAAGGAGCAGAATGCCTGGCACAGGTGGCTACTCACTAAATAGTAGCTCAACTAAACTGAGGAGCCATTCCCTCTATGATAATGTGTGGAATGCCACAGAAATGTGTTCACATTTTATTTTAAATTATCTCTAAATCTAAAATAAGCATTTTTGAATATTTAGTAAGCAGTAGATTTCAATGTTTTGTTAAACTCTTCTCTGATGAGAAATTCTCATCCTTACAAAAGCCTAATAAAATTATATAGTTAGGAATACGCTTTTCCTTTTAAAAATTTCTGTTGCTCACTCCCCCTACCTACTCTTATGACTTTGTGCCAACAGCATGGTTTTTTATAGACTTAGCCTATTCATATGTTACAATTACTTGTTTATACATCCATGGCCCCTCTTAGATATAAACTCCCGGAGAGCCGGGGCCTTGTCATATCCATTTTTGTAGTGCTGGTGTACAGCAATGACTACAAAAGGGAAGAGCTTGGAAGGTCCTTGCTGAATTAATAGAGGAAAAGTAGAAGACAGTAAATAGAATTAAATTCTAGGGTCTCCTTTTTCTATTAAAACCTGTTTTATAAACTACATAAGTAGTTTCATAAACTACATAAAACTCTGACTTTGTTTTTGAAGGGCTAGCTTAGACTGTGGGTATAGCAAACTAGGAATTGAGTAGGAAGGGAAAATGCTTAGCTGTGCAAACATTTTCATTTTATTTTGTCTTTAAAATTTACACCGGAAGAGGCCTTTTTCTAGTTTTAAAATATGGAGCAGTGGGTTGGATCAGAGGAAAAAATAATTGGATTCTTTATTATGAAAAGAAATAGGTTTATTAAATATTTCACTGAAGTTCAAAAGCTTTGGAGATCTTTTTCCCTCTGCTAAGATGCCATTATTTCCATAATTTCCTCTTACTCTAATTATAGGCATCAGGATGATTTTTAGTTGAGTCATTTGATGTTTCTCTGTGATTTTTTGGCAACACAAGGGTGTGGATTCCTAGTGAAATATCACCAGATGAACAGTAGTGTTGGACTAGATTAATCTTGCAGAAAATGATGTACACAATTTTTTACAACAGTACTGTTTAAAAAAATGTGATTAGTTTAAAAAGTTCATTCAACTTTTAAGGACATGTAGCATCTATTAAATGTATTATAACTCACTAGTAAGTGAGAGTGACAAATATGCTCATTAGGTGACCTTGAAAAGAAGTCATTTCTACAGAAACCATTTAGTAATTGGCAATGAAGCATTTGATATTTTTTAAATTAAAAATCCCAGATGACTCTCAATTTTATGTTGTTTCTTCATACACAAAGCACTTTAAAATCCATGGGATAACAATCCATAAATCTATAGATCATACAAATGACATAACTCCTCTTCAAAAGTAATTCTCTAACTTGTATATCTACTAGAACCCATTGACTTCACAAGTTGATATAATAAATTAAATCGATGTGGTGAAAAATGCGAAATGGTGATATAGTTCTTTGGAGGACAGTTACTACACTTAATAATACTCTTTCTAAGGCATTTCAAAAATAATACTACACAATTCTTGAATCAGCACTTTAAATACACAAGATCAAATTTGATTTCTTTTTTTCCCCACATAAGTATTTACAAATTATGGGATTAATCCAAGGTCATGGGCCAGGTAGAAGAATTTAAAATTAGACTGCAAAATCAGACTTAGTTCATTACTTTTTTCTTGACCTCTATGCACCTTTCATATTTTACAGTTTTTACCCTTAGCAATTTGCCTCTGCATTTTCATGCTAAATTAATTTTGATTATAAGTTGATAGACATCCAAGTAACTGCATATGAAAATTAATTCATAAGGACTAGAGAAAAAAACCTATATATTAAAGCATATGGGGACATATAAAGATGAGTACCATTTACATTTTTTTCTATGAGATAAGCATGAATATTTAAATATCTAACCTGGGCAATTCAGCATGAGAATATTACAGATTAATACAGATTAAAAATATCAATGGCTGAATATAAGTTAGAAAAGTATGAAATGTTAATCACATCCCTAAGAAGAAACTCTAGAATTAAATTAGAAAAGTGTCAATCTCGAGTCCATCAAACCCAGCAAATAGAAGGGACAGTCTGAAAAATGTGACAGAAATGACATTTCAAGCTGTTTCCAAAATACTTCAATTTGATACTCTTAAACTTAGGAAAAATAATTGTGGTTTTCCTCAAGTGAAGTGACCTTTAACCTTTAAATTCAAAACACAGAAAGAAGCTCCCCATATTTGCTGTAGAAAAATAGGTATTGCAGAACAATTTTTGAAAATAACACTTAGGAACTTACCTGTTTCCATTTTTCCATCCTGTGCTGCGGGCCCATCCGGAATGACACTTTTCACCTGCAGAAACTCATCGGGCTCATCTCCACCAATGATGGTAAATCCAAAACCCATGTTGCTCTTTTTTAGGGTGGTGCTGAGGAATGTTCCCTTCAACTGGGATGCATCCCGGGTGAAGAGTGGTTTTTCTACATTGGCCAATATAAGTTAAAAAAGAAAAAGCACGTTTAAGGCAAGTTCTCACATGGGAAAGCCAGCCACTGAGCAGCCATCCTGGGGTTAATGTGGGTCTTCTACAGTAAATGCAAGCAGGGGGTGACTGCAGGGGCTAAGCTCTTAGTACTTTCTATAAACACAGAGCAGTCCAAGCATCCAGGGAAACATGGAAATCTGCTTGGTTTGGAGAGAGATTTTTTTATTTTGGTCAAGTAAATCTTTCTATTCACTAAAGTAGCCCTTCTTGTGCTTAAAAAAGGCTGAATCAACATGCCATCAATGCCTTCAGATAAAGAGGAGCCTAAAGGCCCTGAGTGTGTTTCCCTTGTTCTATGAGTATCCAGGTAGGAGACTGAGTGGCTGGTCCTGCACAAAACCTTGAAGGGATAGGACTAGAAAACCAAAATGGACTATTTTGTTTTTAAAAAGAATAGAAACTATGAAATGTTGCTATCAATTCACATGTCAAAAATATTTAGAAAGAGTACCTGGATGTGGGACTGAGTTAAGTTTTGCTTATATTGTGAGATGCTATAAAGATAACCAGATAGATCAATTTCTACTGCCCCAATAGTGTTTAGTATACTCTAAAATGTGAGCAAAAGGCAAGCCAATATTTCTACATAAGATATAATTATGAATGTAAAGGTAACAGATTTTGTAACAATATGCTGACACATTCAACACAGAACTTGAATCCGCTCATGTAGATTTGATGATTAATTTGTTATATAATATGCTTTTGTAGCTATAATCTGTAAAAAATATTTTCCTAATAATATATCAAATGTTTTAAAAATAATAGTCACACTAGGAAACATATTATCTTTTAAATGCTATCACAGTCAAATATTATATATATATATATTTAGTTGTTACAGTTTGGTTGATATGATTTGCTATTTGGAACAGCAAAACTGTACATGGTAACTTAGTTATTTTGTATGATACTTTTGCTGTTGTTACATTTTTGGTGATATGTAATGGACAAACTATAAAATAATGAGTTATTATATTCAAATTTTACTTTGTCTATTTACATATCATATATATCTTTGTTAAAAATAGAGAAAGCTTCTTTAAATTAAAAATTAAAAAAACATATAATCTTGGCACCTAGGTTTCCTTTATGAAAGGAACGTTTGCAAATGGAAAGCAGTTCAAAAGGAGACCTTTACATTCGCGGTGACTGTGCCGTAGTGCATGGGGTGAAGGTCACCAGCATCCGATCTCGGCCTCCCGCCTACAAAAGCGGCCTTGCTTTCGCGATGAGTAAGAGCCCAGGAAGAGGTGAAAAGTGGGTGCAGCCTCTCACCCCCGCGTGGCTGAGGTGTCGGGCGCGGCAGGCGGCCCGGACCTACCGACCCACCAGGGCCCCCGGGCGGCGGCGCGGGTCCCGGGACAAGTGCCCGCGCTGCGCGGCCTCCCCGGGGCAGCGCGGGGTGCAGGGATTTGGGCCTAGGGACTGTCGATGAGGAGTTGCCTACCGTCACAAAGGAGAGCAAGCCTCCTTCTGGTGCTTGGTCTTTTGAGGACAAAGTTATGATTCTCTATGTATCTCTGCAGTTTAAAGCATCACCGTCAAGCCCAGGAGCCGCGCCCTGGCAACGAGCTGTACATTCCTATGAGGCGCCCTGCAGGCTTTACCTTATCTGTGGTGGCCAAAGGCATTAGTCTAGAAACAGCGAACACCCAGCTAACGCTAACAGACGGGTTTGTGGAAAGCAAATCAATTCTTTGAAACGGTTCAAGCTAAAGGCATGTATGTTGGAGGAGCGGGCAGTTTCAGAGACCGTTCTTCCCCTTGAAACGTCTCATGGTGACAGGTACCAACCTCGGAAGCCTGGGGCCTGCAGGGGCTTGGTTCCAAGTTCCGTGTGGGGCATGTTATGCTGCTGTAGCTTCCTTTTTGCTTCCAGGACAGGGTTTTCAAACTGTGTTCTTCTATTTATGTGGCTGAAAAATAAAAGTTCGAATTAGGATAACAGTGGGGCAAAGTCATTTAAGAGAACATAGGTACAGCTCTGCAGCGAGCAGGTGATTAAGGGACACCTTAGGCGACTACAGTCAAGTGCCCACCAGGCATGAAGTCAGCCTCGCTGGCGCTGGGCTGTGCACAGCATACACCTCTGTGACAAGAGCAGAGTTCTCAATGGCTCCATCATATGTTAGTACATTGAAATTGTGTACCATGCAGCCAGAAGAACTAGAATGTGCTCTTGCTGTCTGGTCTACTGTGTTAGTCTGAGATCAGTTTGGTGCATTAAAATAAATGGTCAACAAGTGAAATTTATAGCAAATGGCGTTGGAGAGAAGAGTATCGTTTAAGCTTTACAAAGTCCCTGGTGTAAGGTAATCCACTGATTACTCTTACAGCAACCAAAGTCCACACTTTTTAGAGTCATAAGATCTGGACTGAAGGGCTGGGATATAGGAGAAAAGGCTCCCAGAGACATTATGGAAGTTGTAGAACACCTACCTACCTGTAGGATGGTTGACTCTGAGATCAATAAAAAGTTGAGCATTTACTTTCTGCATAATGAGGTGATAAATTCACAGATACTAGACACACAGTGGCGGAAAGCAACTGTGAATCAGCTAAACTTACGGCTGATGGTATAAGCATGCCTTCTAGTATCCTTATAGCATAATGAATTCTTCCATGAAATTTAGAGTTCCCTGTCCACAGAAAGGCTAGAAACCAATGACCCTGCCCCGCAGCAGTGCCTTGTAGCTCTTTCTCTAGGATATGAATGCACCACGAGCAGCCTGGCATCTACATTGATTTCAGTTCTTTGTATACACAGAAACAGGATTATGGATTGAAAGCATGAAGAAGAGACGGGTTAGAGGAGGAAGGAGCAATTACTGTGTACTCAGCTTGGTGCCAGCTACTTCATATAAATCTCCTTAGTTAAGCCCACTGGCAACAGTCTTGGATTCTAATTATCCCATTTTAAGGCAATGAGACTGACACACTGGAGGCAGAATGACTTGCTATAAATCACATGCCCAGTAAGCGGAAAGATGGGGATTTGAACGTGTCTATCTCTAAGATGCATCGCCCATCACATACCTCCTCTTTTCAGTGTATGATTTCACAGTGGCAAGTGCACACATATTTAATGTGCGTGTACACACACACACACACACACACAAGTGCACACACAGCCCTCTCACTTTATGTCTTCTAAAACTGCATGTCAGAAAGCAGAGGAGGTGAAAGGAGCAAAATGTCAACAACCAATTTTATATTAATACAAGTCATATTATTCCTGGTGAGAGAGAAAATCGATGATTAGAAACAAATGAAAACAATTGCAATATTTAATTTCTTCCTCATGGGGGACAGGGTGTGGGGCAGCTGCTGCCAAACAGGTTCTGCAGTCAATTAGTCTTGGATTAAAAATCCAGCTCCACCACTTGACTAGCTGTGTGACCTTGGCAAGCTATTAAACCTGAGCCTTAGTATCTTCATCTATAATGAGCAAAATATCCCCTTCCTCCTGGGGCGGTTGCGAGGATTCAATGAAATAATGAATATTGGCACAGGGTTTCAAGCAGAGACGTACTCAGTAACTAGCAGCAGCTGTTATCATGGCCAACACCAGCATCGCCTTCTCATCACCATCACTGTAATGGTTGTGAGTCCGCACGAAAGGCTTTGCAGGGCTGGGGGCACTGTAACAACACCAGGACCTTTCTCTGATACAGCCTCTGGTGCATTTTAGAATGGGGGTTCTTACAGCAATGTTGTTTGGTATTGAAACTCACTGGTATGGGGTTCTATGTATATCTGTCTTATGTAAAATTATTTCCCACTGGAAGTAAATGCTACTGTGATGCTCTTGTAAATCAGGGAGTCACCATGATCTGTGGTATACACAGAACTATGAGCTTTCAACGCTTCTTTGCCCCATAAACTCAGACAACACCACTCCTATTTCAGAAGGGTCAGAGTTTGAAGCCGCTCCTCCCTTGTCTCCACATTCCCTTACTAAAATCCTTGAAATATTTCTATTACCTAAAGGAACATTATTCCTGACTTTGCCCTTACTTATCTCTGTAGCTTCACCTTTGGCTGTATCACATCACACACCCTTTGCTTTTGACATACTTGGAGCTACTCTCATCAGCAACACCCTACTAAGCCTCTTTTCCAGTCACATGAGATTCAGGGTATCCACAGTGCAGTGCCTGAAGCAAGACCGCCTGGGTTTCAGGTGGCATCTTGGGCAGATTACTAAATTCTCTCAGCATCAATATCATCCAGAAAATGGGGACATTAACTCCTTGAGGTTGCTGTCTAGATAAGAGAAATAATGTTTGCAAAGCACAGATACGTAAGGAGGACCCCACAATTATAAGTTATAGTTATTTTGTATTCTTCAAGGTATAACTTATTCTTCAAAAATAATTTATTCTTTATTACTATTATTAATAACTGCTGCTGTTACTGTAATCATTATCTCGATGCTTTTTCCATCTGCCCCATAGCTCCTTCCCTAACCTCTGCCAGCAACATTCCCATCCTGCGTTATACTCTTCCAGTGGCTCTCTGTTTACTTATTTTCTTCTACCCTGCCTCATCATTAAGAGGACTTGAATCACTTTTAAAGAACTGCAATAAAAAGTAAATAAAATCAGAGTGAAGTCAGTTGAATCTGAGTGGAAGATCAATAGACAAAATTGATAATACAGTGTCCTACTTGTTTACTGGAGTTTCATTGCAAATTAGCTTTGAGCTTTCTAGTGCTAATTCAATGGGAGGAAGAAACCATTTATATTCTTCAGAGTATTTAAGATAAACCAAGACAGTTGTTCAGAAGGGTATAGTATTCCTGTTACTGAGTCTTAAGATCATTCTTTCTAGGTCTTCGATGAATAGGTTTCTGTGATGTAGTACACAACATCCTAATTGATAATCCACAACAATGAATTTAAAGAGCTATCATAACCCTACCATACTGTGTTTCAAGGACTGATTTTCATTTTTATTCCCTTCTTTAGATTGTACACACCTGTGTACAGGGTCCATCTTTATGTATTGAGCATTGGACAGAGTGAAAGACAATAATTTTTAGTTAAATAACTAAATGATGTGCCTATGTTTTAAGACTTTTGTTTACAAATACATGGTAGTGATTTTGAGAAACTAAGAAACAACGTTAAAGTGTACCAAACCATCAGCTTTTCTCATTTCCTATCTGTTCTATTTCTCTTTTGCTAGGTCATTGTCCATCATATGCATAACTTTATCCTTAAAAAACACATTACAAGAACTTTCTGGGGTACATTTACATATACTATTGGGTTCCTCCAACTTGCCACCTGCACATAATGATTTCCTTAGAAAAGTCAATATGTAGTCACCTGCTTTATGGATACAATGCTGAAAATATTCCATTCACCACCAAAGTGAGTTTCCAGACTTAAGAGATAATGAAAATATCAGTGAACTAGTCTGGCATGTCTTGTACCCCACAAATAGTGGAAGCTGGGTGTAGCTTTAGTATCTTGAGCCAATAGCTACAGAGCATTTACATTGTCACAAATGCAGTCATTCATTTAAAACTTAAAATGCTCCAAAGCTTCGAAAGCCCTATCACAAAGAAATGTGATTGTAGCTGAAAAGGGAAGTCTTGTCTTTCTTATGCTTCCAGAATGAATAGTTTCAGGTCCCTTTAGCAAGGATTTGGGGGTCTTACAATGTGTACAAAGTATGTGAATGACAAATGCCATCTCCTCCTCTTGTTTAGACTCTGTGTGATAATAACTATTTCATGTAGCTCCCATACAGAAGGGGACCTGGGAAACTACCAAGAGTTCTTAACTCTCTAATTATATCTAGTCTATTGTCACATTTTACTAATAGAATCTTTAGGTGTTAAGGGCTAAGGGGGTAGATACATATTCTGAAGTGGGTATATCCTAATACCACCACTTACCCTTTACAAAAAGGAAAGACTACTGATGCTTCCATGTTAGAATGGCAAAGGGATCAGGATACTCAAAGATAAGATTCCATCCTTGAGCATCCTATATGAGGCAGTGCTCTGTAGTTCAGGATGAACCTGAGCAGCTTAAAATAACAAAAACAAAAACAGAGAAGACTCAGGCCCACCTTAAATCAGTTGAGCCATAATCTCTGAATGGGGTACAGGCACTGGCATTAAAAAAAAAAAAAAGCTTCCTAGGTAATTCTAATGTACAGCTAGGGTTGTAATTTCCTGAGTTAGAAGATGAGAAAGTCCTAGCCAGCGTGGCTCTATTGGCTGAGTGTCGTCCTGTGCACCTAAAGGTCACGGGTTCTATTTCTGGTCAGGGCAGATACTCAGGTTTCGGGTTTGATCCCCAGTCGGGGTGCACGCAGGAGGCAGCCGATCAATGTTTCTCTCTCACATCAATGTTTCTCTATCTCTCTCCCTCTCTCTCCAAAATCAATAAAAAAATAAACTAGAAGCTGAGAAAATGTGAATTGGTAATTGAATAAGGGGGTTCTAGCCTGATAAGGTTTGTGTGAAAGTCTCATTTTCTGTATGGAGCCTTGGGTAGTACTAGTACTTCAGAATAGAGTACTTGTGCCATCAGAATTTTCAGAAATGCACAGAATGAAGGAAATCTTTGTAGTTAATTGGCTATGATGCCAAAGGTAGTCCTAGGTGAGCATTCTGTTTGACTGCTACCTTCTTCAGTGTGGGGAGGCCTGGGAGAAACAGGAGGACAGACATACATCCTGGGCCCATCAGTACACACGGGACAGGTCTGCTGAGGGTTATGAAGGCCATCACTTGACCCTCACACTACCAGTGTTCCCTTCATAGTCCAGGCTGTTCACCCCACCTTTCTTCTCCTGTGTCTTTGGAGAGGGACACTTTTAGTGCATGGTGACCTTTTATACTGGTCACCATCTTGACTTGAGTTGACAGTTTAGAAATGGATCTTTGGGTAAGTGT